AAATAATTTGGATTATAATGAATTATAATGAATTGTAACGGTTTATGATAGATTATAATGAATTGTAAGGCATCATATTTTGTTTCACACAAAAGCCTAGATTTTCAAAATAGTTTTAAGCTTTCCTAGTAGTTTCAAAACTTGAACATTGCAATCGTTAATTTGCGATTTACAATTGGCTTGTAAGATTTGTTATATTAGTTTTTTTCTAAATTATTTTTACAATTTTTTCTAATCAATTTTTTATTTGAGGAACGCCGCCCACCACCCATTTACGCCGCGCAAAGCTTATGCGCAACATTCTTACTTCCTCCACTTACCAACCCTCCCCCACTATTATCCCTTCTAAACACAATTACCCAAGTCCCCAATCTCGCCACCTATTCCATTAAGCCCCAAACCCCCAACACGGGGTGGTGGGGTAAGGTCGATGAGAGTTAGGTAGGAGTGTATTTGTTGGGGAAGATAAGTAAGTGAAGGGTGTTAAATATGTAAATTGCGAAAAAACTTTTTTCTCCTGTTTTTTCAACGATTAGATTTTTTGAAAATGTTGAAAAATGCAGGCGTGGGGATTCAGACGGGTTTGGAGACGGTTAAGCGTGGGGAGGGGGAAATATGAGGGGATTAAGTATTGGGGGGGGGGGCTAAAATGGGGAGGGGGTTAATTGTTTGAGGGGGATGAAAAGGTGAGGGGATGGGGGTAAACATTGGGGCACTTCACACGGAAGGGCGTTGATTTTTCAAAAAATAAGTAGAAGTGAGTAGGTTTAAAAATCCAGAGAGCTGTAAGAAATGTAGAAAAAGCTGCAGATTTAAAATTCATTATAATCGAGTTAAATTTTTTGAAAGTAATGGATTATAATAGATAATGGATACGTGAGAAATCAGTACTGCAATTTTTCTGCAACTTAGTATGTATGAGTTGCTGAGGCGAGTGTTTTTTGACAATTTTTGAGTTAAATCTTTATCCTATGGGAATCAGAAAAGAGAAAAAAGTAAAATTTGTATAGGATTTGGCTGCTTTTCCTTTCAATTAATTAGAAGATAACGTGCTGAAAAAAGCTAAGGAGGATAAAAACTTTTTAAATGCCTAAGAACTGATCTTTGAAGATCAATTCGCAATAAATTGGCAGGAAAGATACCGGACTCTTTTTGAAAGATAAGAGGAGAAAACTACTATTTCCCATGTCAACGCTCTACCCTCCTTCAGAACAATTGTTTATCGGCGCTTTTAGATAACTTCAGGTATGATGGAAAAAAACCGATGTCTTTGAGTGGTAACAAAGATGATGGTGATTGAATACGGGGGTGAAAATCTGAGTCTTTGTTCATTAAGGTCGCCCTTGATCTTGGAGGCTAACTAATAGTTGCATAGGTTGTCAATTATTCGTTAAAAAAATAATACTCATAATTAAATTTGTTTCTTGGAGACAGATCGCTGAAAAAAGTCCTGTCACTCCTGCAACCGGCAGCTATTCTGACCAGGTCCCCCCTTTGATACTTTTCCTGAAATCCATTTTTTGCCGACGGACCCTAAAATTTTTCTAAAGGCACCTTAGGCGCCAATATATACTAACTTTGAGGGGGAGCGCGCGCAAAAAAAAACGCGATTTTTTTGTCAAAATTTTTCAAAAAGTGCCCAAAAACGGCTTTTTTGACTGTTTTTTCAAAAATTTGGCTGCGGCGCAGAAAATTTAGCCAAAATAGAGGCAAAACAGTGCTTTGGGAGAGCTCGAAAAATCAATTTGTTCGACCTAAAAAAAAGGTCGTCAAAATTTTGGAAAATTTTTTGAAAATCCGCTTCCCCCCTCAAGAAAATCCTAGATCCGCCCCTGATTCTGACATGCATTGTGGCACAAAACATGCTCATAATGATTGAATTGGTCACGTGCAAGGCACCTTCCATAATTGTGGGACCCGATGAGAAAGAAGGTATTGAAAACCTAGGTGAGATAGCTACATTGGGAGCTCTAGCTGCTGTGAGAAGCACAATTGCAGTAGTTGCTGTAGGAAGTGCAATTATCTTTTCTGGTGGAACTGCTTTTGTAGTTATTAGTACCTGTGACTCTGGCAGCATTAGCCGCTGGAGAGTTCGTTAGGAGACCTGGATCTGTTTATCAAGCCAACGTACTGACATCTGTATTGGCACTCACATTTGTTGAAGTGGTCCAAAGAAAAAGTCTTAGGTCTTTTTTGCATTTTTTGCGGCAGTGGCCGAGGGGTAATTTATGGATTAATTGTACTGGAAATTGGATAAAACTGAACAGAATTGATGTTATCGGGGAAGTTTAGATATTTGATCTTATTTAATTATTTAATAGATTATTTATTTTCTTAGGATCCATTCCAAAACACAGATAGAGATCCATCTAATTGAGTGGGATCCGATAAGGTACCAGTTGCTGGGTACGATCACAGTCCACGCGACAGCCTTTGACATTGTACCTCCGGGAGAAGACTACAAGGTCCATAAGATGCGATTGCAATGAGTGTGGAGCTCTACAGCATCCATCTATATCTCCTAAAGGGTTCAAAGAGGACATGTGGAAATTGCAGGCGTCAACTGGCAGCTTTGTAGCACAAATCTTTGCAAAAATTGTGCTCAGGTGCATATTCACAAAACAAGAAGGGGGCAAGTTTACAAAGTTATCGGAGGCATATATCCGAAATTTTTTTTTTCTTTTTTTTTGCTTTTTTTTCTAGCCGGACTGTCCAAACACCGACAAAAGCGGACTGGACCGTGATATGGATCAAAAAATCTTGACCGCTTGTCCAGCTGACATTAAAAGGCTTTGAGGCGTTCTCCTGGTGGCCCTCTTCATCCCAGTATCTTTGAATCTGTGGACCGAACTAGTTACCCGCCTCCAGTGCACAGTTTGGCCTCGTAATGCAGAGTTTTGTAAAAGTGGCTTGAATGAAAAAACCACCCTGAGCATATATAACTTACTTTCTTCGAAAGTCGGAACAATAAAAGCAACGCGTGAAGATTTGTAGATTTGTTCCCAAAAATTTGGAAGCGTGAGGCGTCAATTCGTAACGGGCGACAATTCATAACAGGCGACAATTCGTAACAAGGCATAAAATCGTAACAGTAGATTAAGCGGTGAACACTTGTTCACTCGCAGTACTCCTCAACTGCTGGATGTAAGCGCAGCGGAGCAAAGCGGAGCAAGCTTATGCTACTTGCCATTACCTTGTTACGAATTGTCGCTTGTTACGAATTGTCGTCAGTTACAAATTGTCGCCTGTTACGAATTGTCACCCTACCATTTTCAAGCAGTCGCATCGCAAAAATTGATTTTCCGACTTGGCGGTGCAACTCAAGTTCGGCTATGCTGATTAAAATGTGTATATACAGTGAAAATTAGAAAAAAAAGTTGACATTTGGATATCCGCTTTTCAAACACGCACACGCAATGTAACAATTTTTGGGTGAAAATGGTTTTTTTCCACATATTCTTATTGTAATAAAATTTGGCATGTGAACTATTATTTATTCTCCATACAAAAACTCTTGGTTGAACCCTGAAACCTGGGGGGAAGCTTTTGTAAGCTAGGGTCAGCGTACAGAGAGGGAAAAGACTGATAAAAAATTGTAGATATTGTTTTTCAGTGACGCCCGAGAAACTTCTAGGTCTTCGGTCAAAACTGAGTGTTAAATCAGTAGTAAATGACAAGATTATGTGTGGCGAGGGAGTTGAATTTCTGAAACGCACCCGAGTTAAGACACCAACATTTAAAAAAGCAGAAATGCTTCATAGGTAAAAACCAGAAGAACGCTGACTCATCTTATTTCATAGATGCCGGATATTTTTGTTCCATTGCAGCACTGGAACATTGATAACAGCGAGCTTTATCGTCAATGACTTAATTTCACTTTTAATTTTTGTTATTCGCCTTCAAACATACTCTGGGATATAAATATAGGCTTCATGAGGTCCGATATATATTCGACGCTTATTTTCTAATTGTCACTTGTTACGAAATATCGTTAGTTACAAATTGTCGCCTGTTACGAATTGTCGCTTGTAACAGGTTATCGACAGTTACAAAATGTTGCCTGTTACGAATTATTGCCCTACCATTTTGAAGCAGTCGCATCGCTAAAATTAAATTTTCTGACTTGGCGGTGCAACTCAAGTTCGGCTATGCTAATTAAATGGAATTAAATGACCGAAACTAATTAGGAATGTTTTTGAACCATTACACCAGTGTTCGCCAGAGTTTTAAGGCCGAAAGTTTTGTCAATATAAATAATTCCCATGTTACGTTCAGACAACAAAATTGGACTGAAAACGGATCTAAATCTAATTTCTCTAGCGAAAAAATGTATTATAATGGATTATACAAAAAGTGGAAAATAACATTAAAATGGATCTTTTCCACTCTATTTTCGTTTCACATCTTGCAAAATGATGCAAAAATCTCTGCAATTATCAATTGAGTATTGCAAAATTTTCGCAAAGCGAGTGTACGGCCTAATCCATTTCTAAACCTAAACTCAAATTGGAAAAAAGATTCCGTTAACCTCCACTCCCCTTGTTTGCCCCTTTGCTCCCTTACAACCCCTGTCTCAGTGTTTTTCCCCGTGCCCCCCATCAGCATCACTCCTCCCCTCAATTGATCACTTGCAAATTCCCCGCCACCTGAACCAACCCCAAAAAAATGAATATAATGAGAAAAAGATGCCAAAAACGTTGCCATTATAATAGTTTAAAAGTACCAAATTAAGCATTTTTTTCTAATTTATTAGAAATCAAATTGATCATTTCGTTGAGCATTAGTTTGCATTATAATTTCACAAAAATCGTTTTTAAATCCACATATTCTCAATATTTTTTGCTCTAAAACAACAAAAATTAGAGCCAAAATAACATCCTCTTTTTTGCTAGTTTCTTTGTTTAACAGTTGTTTTCAGCCAATTTCATAAACAAAATTAGTTTTGGGACATTAATGAAAACTTTCTACAATGTTCTACAATTATTCTATAAAATCTCAATTCATTCAACCTCGAAATCTATTTGGAAAACCGCACTAATTTAATTTTTGAAGATTTTTATGCAAAAATAGCTGGCTCAAAAACAATTACAGGTAATAAAACTCTAAACATTAGCACATTAAATTCACTAAAAACAGTGAATTTGAAACAGTGAGTTTAAACAATCAATTGAGCAGTTTTCATAGGAGTGTCGCCGCCAGTGTTTTTCGCCTTGTCGTTTGTTTTGCCTCTGAGCGAGTTCTGTTGCGGCATTTCATCCTGCTGAAACATTGCGAACCAATTTTGTAAATTCGTTTTAAATAAATATTTTTTGTTGGAAACGATCAGCGATAGAACTCAGTGCATCAAGCAAAATGCATTCATTCGAAAACAAATCCAGTTTCTTTCAAAAACAGATTGATAGCTTGTTTTGAGTTTTTAAAAGAAAAGATTTTCGTTAGGGCCTGCCTTCACATTTTCACAGTGAAGGTTATTGAAAAGTAGACATTTCGATGCCCGCTCTTCAAACACGCACATGCAATGTAAAAAATTTCAGGTGAAATTTTTTTTTCACATATTCGGATTGTAATAAAAATTGGCATGTGAACTATTTTTTATACACAATTCAAAACCTTACAAAACTACAGGTTGAATCATGAAACCAGGGGAAAAATTTTTGTAACCGGGGTGAGCGCAGGGCGAAGGAAGAGACTGATGAAAAATTCTTTGGAAAAGGTTATTTAATTGCAATCAAGATAAATTTTTTTGCACTGATTTTTCCATTCCTCTTTTCATCTTTTCATTAATAATTTACTTAACTATCGGTTATAATTACTATGAAAGCATCACAAAAATGCCGTTTTTTGGACCCATTTGGGAAGTTTTTAGCCAAATTTGAGTTGTTTTAGCATGCCCTTCGTCTTCAAAAAAGTTTTCTCAGTGACTCCCGAGAAATTTCAAGGTCTTCGGCGGTCAAAAGTTAGTGTTAAAGCAGTAGCAAATGACGACATTATGTTTGATGAGGGAACTGGATTTCTGAAAGGAACCCGCGTGGACTTCGCAGATCTAATCAATTTTGTTTCAGAGTTATAACACCATCATTTCAAAAAGCAGAACTGTTTTATAGCTATAAAAAGGACAACGATGACTCATCGTATTTCATAGATTAAAAATATATTTTTTGCAGTACTGGATCCTTGATTACTACGAGCTTTATCATCAATGACTCAGCGTACAGTCAGAAATTAAAATTCACTTTTCAATTTTTGTTTTTAACTTTCAAACATACCCTGTGATAGAAGTATACGCTCCATGAGATCAGATATAATTTTTACGCAACAGCATAGCAACTAAGAGTAAATATTATCGAGGTAACCAGTTGATTAGATTTGGAAGCAGATAACTTGAAAGAGTCGGGGTAGTACCCGGGTAGAGGTGCTCGACTTATGTTTCGACTTTGAAAGAAGAGCAAGTGCAGTTTTGCGACTGAAATTCCGCGGTCAAGAAGCAATTTTAAGCCGAGCACAAAGTCGAAACATACCCGATTTTGGCCGAAAGAGTCGAAACATATATCGAGCACCTAGACCCGAGTATGGAAACGTACTGCAATTTTTTTCGGAATTTCAAAAATGCGGAATTTCAAAAAATTTTCGAAAATTTTGACTTTTTTTAGGTCGACCAAATTGATTTTCCGAGCTCTCCTAAAGCACTAAAAAGATGCCGTTTTGGCCAGATTTTGTGCGCCGCAGGCAAATTTTTGAAAAAACAGGCCAAAAAAAGGCGCTCTCCCTCAAAGTTAGTATATATTGGCGCCCAAGGCGCCTTTAGAAAAATTTTAGGGTCGGTCGACAGGGGATCGAATCCCTGAAAAGGGAAGCGTCCTGCCCTCCCCCCCAAATCCGCCCCTGATTTATTTATTTAATTATTTATTCCGACAGACCAGTTGGATGGGGAGGGCACCGTAAATTTTTAAATTTGCTCCTGATTTTGACCATAAGGTAAATTCACGTCATGTCATGGTAGATACAATTAGGCTTCTTCGATTTATAGCCTTCCAGTATGGTAACATAACAGGTAATGAGTTTGCAGTCAAGGGCAAGGCAGAGAGAAGAAACATCTGATCAGAAAGTTCTGGAACTTTCCGTGAATAGACAAAGTCCAGTATGCAATGTCAGCCGAAAAGCAGTGAAAAAGCTTGGTTAACCCTATTCCAGCTTATTTTATGTTTTTTTAGCTAGTTTTCAGATCGGCTTTTTACCCATTTATCATTTCCTGAAAATTACCCTATCTACGTTCCGCCGACTTACCCAAAACTTTGCGGTGGGATGCAAGCCAGCCGAGTTTTTGGTACTGTTACAAACTAGTTATCTCTAACATTGATGTAACAGATACAAAGTTCATGCAAATTCAGTCAAAAGACATAGCATCCGGCTGATTTATACACAGTGACATAACTTTTGGCTGTTTTAATTGGACTAATTTTTCGACCATGCCGCAACTAATTTTGCGACCATGTGTGAGCGACTAATTTTTTTTACCGGTGCGATTAATTTTTCGATCATACCGTGACTAATTTTTTGACCGTCGCGACTAATTTTTCGACCGCCGCGACTAATTTTTTGATCATGCCACGACTAAATTTTCGACCATGCGGCGACTAAAATTTCGACCATCGCGACCGAGATACGGTTTTTCCAGAATTTGTCAACGACTTAAAATCCTGTTCAGTCTATGGATGTTCGGTTGCGGTATTAACATTTCCGCGACTGACAAAGTCGAACAATTATTCGCGGACCTTGACCTGGGCTGTTCACACTCAAATTTAGCATCAACGTTTATAATACATTTTTTCAGGTTTTCAACAATTTGAGTACATTAGATCAGCTGAATTTAAACCTAAGATAAAAACCATAAAGTGAACAAGTTCAAGAAACTTAAATAAACCGGTTACACGGACCTACGGCTAGCGAGTTTCAGACCCAAAACAATTTTGCTAGTGCACTTTTTGCCAACTAATTTGATCAATGTCATGGTAACAAATCGAACACTGCTACCAGAGACAGTACTAAGGGACTTCGAGTTGAAACAGTCAAAAATTCGAGTTTAGCATTTAAAAATATCAATTTAGTTCAACTTTTCATTCGCCATCTGATTTGGTTTTTCTTCGGAAAGAAAAAGAATGTGTTTGTAATACCGAGACAATAGGGTCAGCGTCGCGAGAGCGAATGCTTGTGGATGATTCTAGGTAGACTTGCTAGCTTCATTTGAACCAATTTGTTTGTAAATAATGTGATGCTAAATTTGTTATGAGGCTTGTGATTTATTATTTAATTTATAAAATGGATCATGGGATAAAATAGCACATGAAAAATTGGAATAGAGTTGAACGCACTGGAGCCAAAAAGCGTTTTATATTCACAATCACTCTTAAGTTAACAATCTCAATCACACAGCTCAATGGCTTTGAGGTGAATAAGCTATCAAAAATTGTTAGTGGAAATGAAAAAGCTGCAAAGTTAGATTTGAAACCTACTTTTCGCCGCTATCATTTCAGAAACCAAAAACAAAATAAGCTCGCCGTCATTAGAAGGAATATAAGACAAATTAATGAAAATAAAGTCTTCAAAAAAATGCCTTGAATATTCCGGTTGCCGAAGACGAGCTCTAAGAAATTTTTTTTTACCAACTATTGAAAAATTTTCCATTTAACGCAATTCAAAACAAATTGTAATATTTTTTGTACACAGTAGCGACGAAGAAGAAACTGAGACGAAGCAGCATTGTAAAAAAATAAATCAAATCAGTCGAAATGTTGTTCCGAAGAACGTAATGAATATAAGCTCGGACTGTTTTGTTCATTCAGAACAATTTTCTAAAGAGTTTGCGACACGGAGCTTTGATCCCTGCATCTCCGTGTAGCCCGCCGGGTGTCCACATCACTATATAATCTGTCACACTTGAGACTAAATTGCTCATTTCATAATGTGATACAATTGCTCATTTCATAATGTGATATTTTTTATTGATTTATTTACGGTTCGTTCTGAAAAATTAACGCGAATTATTTAAGCCTGGCGAATTATTCGTCACTACAAAATCCAGATTGAACTGAGGCAAGCTAAATGATCTTACTAATCCAGAGAAGTTCCAAGTTTTAAAATTTGAACTTTAATTTTATCAAACTAAAAGTTATAGTTTGTCTTTATTTGATTTACCAAAAAATATTCTAGACCAGTTAAAGGGCAGTCGGAGCATTTGGGACTTTGCACTGACACGAGCAGTCTTGCTTAAGCTTTAAGAAGATAATATAAAACAAATAAATTTTTCGTTTGCTTTATAATAGAAAATCATTGATCTCTTTGTAAATAGTTTTGATTAATAAGGAAAACTTTCATTGAAAAAAAAGTAACTGTAAGCGCATGATGAAACCTTGTTGACCACAGGCCACTTTTCATCGGATTTATATGGTACAGACAAATGGAAAAACAAGAGTAGTAACAGACAAATTTTGCAAAAAAAAACATTTGAATCAAAAATTTTCAAACTATTACCGCAAAAATGATGTTGCGGAAAACGAAGAAAAAATCTAGGAATACAAGAAGTAAGTTCAAAAACTTTAAGCCTAGCATTGAGGAAACTTTTAAAAATGTGACTAAAAAGTTTGTTTTAACCAGAGAATGAAGCAAATGCACGTTAGAAAAAAAAAATTCGAAAGCTGAGAAAAATTGAACTCCCAGGAATGTCAATTTCTGAATTTTTTTTAAGTATCGAAGCACACTAAGATTAAAAATTTCTCGAATATCAGATCAACCAAGGTTCCGGCTGCTGTGCCAGTGTTACATAATCTTACCGCCCGAGATATAATCGAAAGAAATGTTAAAACAACTATTTTCAGGGACAATTAGTACACTGAGGCGTATCTGCACTTTGCAAACAGAAGTCAGAAAAAAGCAAAAAAGCTCTAAGAAGGTTAAAAATTAAAAAAAGAACATTTGTTAATCTGCTGTAACGGAATCGAAACTAGACATGGATATTAAATTTCACACGACCTAGCATCTGTGCCATAGCCGCTTAACAGGGTTTTTACACTAAAGGCATGTCTAAAGCTGGAGTTACCTGTTCGGTTTGATGATAGTATAAGAAATGTACTAATGTGAAAGATAATGCGTAAATTTCAAAATCATTCAAAATGCCAAAACTTGGGCAATTAGCAAGTTCATAGTAGGAATTTTAGTAAAATAGGAAAAAAGAAGGTTAAGCAAGGAATCCTGCAGTGTTATTTCTCGGTTGAGCCTAAAAAACTTAATCCAAAAATTGGCACCGTAGTTTTTTTGTAAATTACTAGGTCGTAGCATCTCAACCACAGGAGATCCCCAGCACATTTGTTTTTTTGGTTGAGCCCCTTATCTCAGGTTTGGCGGTGTTGCATTTTGAGAAAATTAAATTAATCTTTAAAAAAATTGGTCGAAACTTCACCCCACAGAAATTTTCGAAGGCCGTAGAACGTCGGTAAAAGGAAAAAAAAGACTAACTGAACATGCAGCCACACAAAAGATTAGCCGGTAATTTTTGGTACTGTTTTTTTTGAAAATCAAGAAAGTAGGTCTCGGAAAAAATCATAAAAGTCAAACCATGCATTTTTAACAGACTTGTTTTCATCAATCAAGAGCTAGAAACTAATGAACGAGATACAAAAACATTATGATATGTAGCAAAAGTAGAGCAGGCAAAATTCTGCAAAAGTTTCACTAAATATATTATCACTTTTATGTGCGACTCAGGTTGGAATCCAGGATAAAATTCATCTTCTACATTTTGTGTGTTCAAAAAGTTTTAGACAAAATTAACTCAAATATGAAAAAAATTTGATGTTGGGACATTAAATATCATTTAATAGTTTAGGATACCAAATTACTGAGTTTAACCTATGAGGTAAAGCAAAATAAATTAACCTATTTTACTTGATTAAAATCGAAGGTTCACCTGTATTGAAATTTGTTTCACCCCATTTTTGGATCTCCTGGGATAATTCATTCGCTTCCACATTTCTTGCATTTCGGGATTAGATTCCAAAAATTTTCTGTACTCGGCCTCTTGCTCCATAAAACTATCAGTTTCCTTCTTATTCTGTAAATAACAAAAGATAGTAAACTTTTTTACGGTAATCTTTTTTCAAGGTCGCTTTCTAACCTTCATTTCAAGTACACTTAAAGGCGGGGTATGGAGAGTTAACAAGGTTCGAAATTTTTATATGCTTAACGGATCAATTCACTCTTTATAGGGAGCAGATTCGTTAAAAGGTACCATAGGGGGGGAATAATTAACAAGATCCCTGAAAACCACTGAAGCCGCTAAAACTTTCCTGAAAACCGCTCAAATCTTGAACAATCCATGCGCAGAATCTCAGAACCCGGAAACACAAGTTAATTATACGACCATTGGAAGAGTTCGTTGCTGACATCTAAATGTACTCTCTTAAAAAGATCACGTGTTCTTTCATGTGCATTGCTGATTTGTTTTAAATTTCAAGTGAAAGCACATGAAAGCAAGGTAGCCGGTTGCTGTGCAAGTAGCACAGAATAATCCGACCACATTCTCAAAAAAACAATACTGTCATGATGTAACCATATGAACTCGTAGAAATTTAGTGAATTAGGCATAAACTGCTCCAAAATTGTCGTGAAAAATTAAATTAAGGAAAAACATTTTCGAAATTTTTTTTTCAATTTTTGTGCACTAATTTTTGATTATTTTTGAAATTTTTTTTGCCAGAGAAGAGCTGAAAGCAGCTTACAAAACTAGTTTTCTTCTTAGCAAAATTAAATTGTTTTGCTTACATTGCTAATTTTTATATATAACAAGCGTGAAATAGACAAAAAATCAAAAATTTCTAACCGTAGGTTTTTCTCAACACCAGCAAAACTTTGTACAAACTTTTTACTGTCGTTCGAAACTCGAGTTAAAGGGCTCTATTATTATATACCACTCGTCCCAGCCCATGATTGTTTTTAATACCTGATTTTGCCCGAAAAACAAAATGAAAAAACTAAAACACACCGAATACAAAGGTCCCCATTTTCCATGGTCGGAACAAAAATGAGATTTTTTATGTGATAGAACATAGACAGACCTTCTGATAAACGTAAATTGTGAATGAGATGTTGAAGAGGATCTGGATGGTGCCATGGGCAGAGACACAGATCACGTCCAGCATGTTGGACAGAGCAGTCAGCTCACATTTGTTCGTTGGACTCGTGAACTAAATCGTGAACTAAATCGTGATCTTAATCAAAAACTAAATCGTGAAATCAATCGTGAACGCAATCGTGAACTTAATAGTGATTTTAATCGTGCACACAATCGTGAACTAAATCGTGAACTAAATTATGAAATAAATCGTGAACTCAATCGTGAACTAAATCGTGATTTTAATCGTGAACTCAGTCGTGAACTAAATTGTGAACTAAATCGTGAACTTAATCGTGAACTCAATCGTGATTTTAATCGTGAACCAATCGTGAACTTAATCTTTAACTAAATCGTGATTTTAATCGTGAACTCAGTCGTGAACTAAATCGTGAACTAAATTGTGAACTAAATCGTGAACTTAATCGTGAACTTAATCGTGCACTCAATCGTGAACTCAATCTTGAACTAAATCAGGATTTTAATCGTGAATTCAGTCGTGAACTAAATCGTGAACCAATCGAGAACTCAATCGTGAACTTAATCTTGAACTTAATCGTGAACTGAATTGTGAACTTAATCGTGAACTCAATCGTGAACTTAATCGTGATCTTAATCAAAAACTAAATCGTGAAATCAATCGTGAACTCAATCGTGATTTTAATCGTGCACTCAATCGTGAACTAAATCGTGAATTAAATTATGAAATAAATCGTGAACTCAATCGTGAACTAAATCGTGATTTTAATCGTGAACTCAGTCGTGAACTAAATTGTGAACTAAATCGTGAACTTAATCGTGAACTCAATCGTGATTTTAATCGTGAACCAATCGTGAACTTAATCTTGAACTAAATCGTGATTTTAATCGTGAACTCAGTCGTGAACTAAATCGTGAACTAAATTGTGAACTAAATCGTGAACTTAATCGTGAACTTAATCGTGCACTCAATCGTGAACTCAATCTTGAACTAAATCAGGATTTTAATCGTGAATTCAGTCGTGAACTAAATCGTGAACTAAAATGTGAACTAAATCGTGAACTTAATTGTGAACTTAATCGTGAACTCAATCGTGAACCAATCGTGAACCCAATCGTGATTTTAATCGTGAACCAATCGTGAACTCAATCGTGAACTTAATCTTGAACTTAATCGTGAACCTAATTGTGAACTTAATCGTGAACTCAATCGTGAACTTAGTCGTGAACTTAATAGTGAAATGTTTTGCCCATATACGGATTTGGGCAAAAATTTACAGAAAAGACTATTTACGATTCCTGGAATTGCCAAAGCGTGGTCATGTATTTTCAATTGTTTGAATCCGTTTTCAAGTAGAATTAACGGCATGGGAGTTTAACTGGCTGAAGCAAAAGGAAGAGAAAAAATATATTCCAAAGCAAGCATTTTCATTTTTCAGTACCTTTTTAATGAATTGTCAGTTTTTACAAATCGGTTCTTTAATAGAGATTGAGATGGTTATGCAAGCAATATGCCTGAAAAACTAAAGGCCCAAGGACTATTTTAAAATTATATTTTCACTTCCTTAGTTTCTTGCACAGTGATAGGAAATCAAATAGGAGTGATTAAGTAGAAAATGTACAACTCACATTTTTCAATTTTCCTCACTTTTTAAGTAAAAAGAAGTACAAAAAATGAAGTGTACCTGGAATCTGTGCAGGCATTTCTGGAAGGGCTCCTCAAGGTCAATCTGGTCTGCGTACCATCGCCACACCCAATGCAGAACTGCAAACGTCACTGCCAAATTAGTCATCATGAAAATTTGGAAAAGCACGTAGATGTCCTGAAACATAATTAGTCGGTAATAAAAATCAAACTTAAAATTCTTCGTAGCCAGGTGACTGGGATCAGCAGGCGATAACTAGCAACAACCGACAACTGGCAAACGGCGACGTTAAACCGCCACTTGTTGCCACATTTATTTTATAACTTGATATTTATCACTGTAAAATATTTAGATCTAGCCAAAGATGATCCATTACTAAAACTTACGATAAGTTGTAAAGCTGAAACTATTCATAGTTTCAGCCAGGGAAAATATATTACAGATGGAAATCGTTGCTTTCTTCTCTACTCTAACGTCGCAAGAATACCAGTATATACTAGAGCTATTGAGACTAGGAAAAAATAAGAGTAAGATTAGGGTTGGTATTAGACTTAAAAAATGCGCGAATCTATCCGGCCGAGAGCCGAAAATGAAATCAATCCCGGCCAAATGAGCGTGACGAACAGACGGGATATCTTAACCGATATTACTCTATTAGAAGGCCACCCCGGACCAAAACTCATTTGCTGCGAACAGTGAGGCCTAACCCACAGAGCCATATCACGCTTAGAACACTCCTTTTTTTCTAAAAGTGGCTCAGAGTGAGCAGCTCTTTTAAAACAACCGAACTAACTAAAAAGCTTCTGCGAAAAAAGCTAAAACAGATCATAACTAAAATTGAATCACAAAAATGCAGGTATATAAAAGGTGACAATTTCATCGAGTAAATGAGTAAAAGAAACGAGCAGCAAAAGGGAGGTAAAAACTCGACGACATCCCGGATATGGAATAGTCCCGCTTTGTCGGTTTAGTTGCCACACCTTAGAGTTTTGCCGTATGCAGTTTTTATTGTAGTTGTTTTCAATGTTTTCATTTACTTCTGCAAGTTACGAGTCATTTGACCTTGACTTGAAGTGTTTTCCTTTTTTTGTTTTTTTTGCCTTATTTTTTTTTTGCCTATATGATTTGTCTTATATTTGATTGGCTTACTAATTTAATTTTCAGTCGCTCGAGGGAACCATAATAGGTATACTCCGGATTGCAAAAAAAATGCTGAAAATCTCAGAATATAAAACTTAATTTAAAGTTTTTCATGACAGTATTTTCATTTTCGCTTAAGAATTTCTTTTGAATTTCCATTCAACGCCATCGAATGTGTTTTTGACGTGTTTTTTGCGAAATAGGTTATCATTCAAATCAAAATTTCCGACTTTTAAAAAAAATGAGGAAGAACTTTGTATTTGGTGTTTTCGGTTTTTTTTTTCCTGTGTTTTCCACACAAAATCGAGTATAAACATAGGAAGGAATCGTGTGATAAGCCGCAGTCACAATCATCTAAGATCTAAAGTATAGAGCCGTCATCGCAGCAAAGGTATCGATTGGAAACGAACAATAGCCAGCTCGATATCAATACTCAAACATAAGTATCCTTGTCACTTTCGCTTCACTCAGATGAGTCAAACCCTTGTCTCACAGCTCAATTAATAAGAATGAATAGTTGAGAATGCACGCAGTCTCGCTCTAGTTTACGAAATCGACACTTCATTAACACAAATTTGCAATTTCAATACAACTTTTTCGGATTCACAACAATCTCTATGCCTCATCATGTGTACTTCACTGACAAAAATAACCTACAGCTCTCTCAAAGAATTTAGAAGATACTGCATTTATCTTTCACAAGAAAAACTTTGATTTAAAAAAACTCTGCTCAAACCCGGATGGGTGGAACCAGTTCAAAACAAGTTCTTATTTTATATTCTGATATTTATCTTTCTAAAAATTTTAGATCTAGCCAATCAAGATCCATTTCTAAAACTTACGATAAATTTTAAAGCTGAAAATATTCATTACTTTCCGAAATTACTCTATCGGAAGGCCAGCCCGGGCCTTAAATCACTAACTCTTTTCCTGGTTTAAGAAGGGCAACTGAGGTGAATTTACAGAACAAATCTCCAAAAACATACAACGCCTCGAGTTTTAATTTTTTTCAGAGACTCCTAAGACTTCAAAAAACATTAGTTTACGCAAAATAAATTCATCCTTACATGCAATTTTTTGATAAAGGTTTTGCTCTTCTGGCAATTTTGAATGCTTGTTACCACAGCCCTAAGCATTAAACATATATTGGTGCCAATACTATCAAAATTTTAGACCTGATATCGCTTAGTCCAGATCTCAGTTACCATACTAGCAGTTTTAATTAATTTATTATAACCTAAATATAACTAACTATGAGAGTGAGGTAAGAGATAGTGGGGAGTGAGTTGGACAACATGAGTTTGTAAGTGACAGCTGTCAGCACCAGAGTCAGCGCCCCGCCCAATCTGAACTGCACGTTCTCTGGCTTGTTCGCAAAGTTCCCATAAGACATGATTGAGAAGAAGACCATAACTAGAACAAAGTCGAATTCTTAAAAATATCAGAAATAATCATGATGGGAAACCATACAAAATCTCTTATGATACTTTTTGCAGAAAAACTGATAGTTTTGCAGATTAGTCTATTGGTAAACTCTCGGATAGGATTGTAGCTGTCAATTTTCTTAACGTATAATTTAAAGCGTAATTTTTATGATTGACTGATGTTGGCGCCGCTAATGAATGTTATTTGCTATTCAGATCATTTATTCATGAAGGGTATGTATGACGAACTGTCAACTCCTTTACGGAAAAGCTTTGATTTGACCTTAATAGCTGTGCCCTTTTTATTGCAATGTTAAAGGTTTATGGGATGTTTTTTGAATGACCAAATTGTGAAGAGAGGATAAGGTGTGAATAAACAGGAGGTACCTAGGAAGCAGTTGTATATGAAGTAGTTGAACTTCCTTTGGACGTTGGTCCTGATGATCAGGATCTGGTTGTCTTCTGGGTGTGACATGGAAGAGGCATCCGTCTCATCGTCCTCGTTGTTCTCGCCAGACTATTAGCAACATCGAAAAAAACGCCTACGTGTAATTAAAGTAGAGGTAAAAATTGGAAACTATATCTGAAAATTTTGAAAATGCAAAAATGCTCTCCAAAAAATTTCTGAAAGTTTTGTTCTTTCATACTTTGTTCATCATGCTTAATTTATAACGTAGTAAATTCTCAGGTAATTCTAACTGTTATTCTATGATTTTGAAATGTGAAAAGGTTGTTGGCGTTTTCGACAAAATTATCCAGGCTAAACAACTTAAGAAATCCAAGCGTAATTACTCTTATCGCCTTTTGTCATAGTAGTACCCCGGGTTGACCTCCATACGCCGAAAATGTTTATCGTACAATTCCATATAACAAAAATTCTTATCATACAATTCCATACATCAGGTCTATGGAGAAAATGATTATCATGCAATTTTTATACATTTTCAAAAAACAATTGAAAAAAAATTTAAATAATTTCTGCAGCTTTTTGAGCACTGTTGATCAGGCTGCTGATGGAAATAAGTCATGAAAACAAAGAAAATACACCGTGAGGGAGCCGAGTAAAGGTTTCGGAATACTAGCACATACCGCTACAATTCTGCGCAGAACCCACTCTTGGTCGTCTTGGAATGTGGTGCTGTCGTCGAGTAGTCCCGCGGGACAGTTGGGCTCGGGAACAAACAGGCGGAAGGAAGTCTGGGAGGCGTGGTCCAGCGAGATGCGCAGACAGATATCCTAATTCAAAAGAAAAATTAAAAGTTCTGTTTGGAATTTTAAAGAAAAAAAGTAGCCCAGTGGCTAGATGGTTAGGTAGAACATTATCTTATCTTTCGGTTTATCATCAGTCAACTAGTTAAGTTTTTCTTACTATTTTAAATTTCATTTCATTTTTGAGTTCCTCTAGAAAGAATATTGCTATGAGCTATGGTCCAACGTGCACTTTTTTCCAGGCACTTTTAGGTGCCTCAAAGCAATGGTATTTTTTACTTGAACATCAAATGGGAAGCTCTGCAACTCCAGCCTCTCATAAAACACTCCCCTGATCACTTTGTGCATCTCGACGTATTTCACACACGTGTAGTCCGGTGCAGATGCAGGTCGCATGGAAAAAGAAGTCTTCTCGAGGGAGGAGCTCTCGAGGTTGTTCACGAGGAGTTTGGGAATGATCTTCCGAATGCCGAATCTGCCATCGTCCACCTGAAACAATCAGCAGCTTTGGTGCTTCCTATCCCTAGCTTTTTCTGAAGCTATTAAAAAACAAGGTGTCCTCGAGAGAGCTTCCAAGATAACCTTTTTGGTTTTTGGTATTACTTTAAAATATCGTTTTTTTTTCTGATTGAAAAGAATAAAAACTCTGGGTATTAAATTTCTTCTGGGTATAAGTTTTTGCTGAATGTGGTCATTCTAAGTGGCCCTCTACCATTTTCATTCCTCCAGATATTTTCTCATCCCAAACCCCCTATGTTCATGTCAGTGGTAAAGTACACATATTTTTGTTCGGCAGTTTCAGTTTGGGTGGTGATTCACCAGCGGATTGGGGGGGGGGGGGGGGGCTTACAATCATTGCTTTCAGGGATTCGAATCCCTGCCGACTCCCTGTAAATTACTGACGTCCCTTTGTACTATTTTGAGATATCCATTTTTGGGTGACTGACACTAAATTTTTTCTAAAGGCGCCTTCGGCACCAACAGATATTAACTTTAAGTCAAATTTTTCCAAAAAGTGCGGAGCGGAAAATTTGATCACAATGAGGTCTTTATAGTGATTTGGAAGAGCTCAAAAAATCAATTTGGTCGACCTAAAAAAAAGTCGACAAAATTTTAGAATTTTTTTTTTGAAAATCCGCCCGTCCTTCACCTCGAGAAAATCCTAGATCCTCCCCTGTGGAGATTACAGTAAATTACTGACGTCCAAATTGGGCTGCTCCTTGCAGACTTTGAAGAAGTCGTTGAACAGTTTGTTCTTCTCCGGAATCCATCTGGCGATCAGCTCCACCAGAGCAGAGAACCTCTGATTCTTCGTGTCGATGTCCCCTATCTTCAGAAAGTGTGCGTACACCGAGATCTCGTGGATCGACATCTTCGCATTCTGGCAACCAATTCCAGGAATGTTCAATGTAAGTGAAAAATGGTTCCATATAAAGCTTCAAATTGGCTATATGTCCCAATGTTAGTACTTTTTTGCACATTGGTGAAAAATGGTTCCATATAAAGCTTCAAATTGGCTATATGTCCCAATGTTAGTACTTTTTTGCACATTTTTGCACATTTGTACGTTTTTTGAGGGTGAAACACAGTTTTATGATTATGATGACAAAAAAGTTTTGTGGCCAGGGTTTTTGCAAAGAGGATATTTTACGAAGGGGATTTTTGCGAAGAGTCTATATGTTGTTTCTTGCTTCACAAATTGAGTTTCGGGTTTCTCTTGGTCTTTTATGAAGAATCAAATTTAAATTTAACAAAAAATTGCGGCCAAATAAAGCTTTTAAGCGAAAAAAGAACATACCTGGGACGGGTCAAGAATCGGAAAGTGGTCTGAATCATCGACGACATCCGACTCTGACCCTGACGAGCTGTCATCGTCACTGGCGTCATTATTCTTCCCATCGTTAGTGTCACCCCAAATGCCACTGTCTCCTTGACCGTCTTTCGAAATGTCGGTATTTAGTTCTTCGACCACGGAAAAACTAAATCGAAAAAAGAAGAACCATTAGTGATTCAGTCAGTCACGCAAAAAAAAACGGAAAACATTTACTAGAAAACGTAAAACATCGGGCAATTTTTTTCGTTCTTGGCTAAATTTTTAACATTTTTTTGGTTTTAATTATAAAAGGTTATATATTGATATTAGGCTTGGTCTCCTTTAAACATGGTCAGGTAAATAAAATAACAAAAAAACTCATAACGATATTCATTCTAGGTCATAATTTTTCCTGCCATTACCAGGTCAAACTGGATTTTGTGTATTGTAAGCGGATTCCGCAACAGGCCAAAAACAGAATTCATGCGGAATCCGCAACATTTCTATTTCTATCTTCGTTGCTGTTTTGGATTCCACGAGCAAATGGCTTAGACACTGTATTGCTCGAAATCGCTCCAAAAACAGGTGACTTTGCGGAATCCGCAACAAAATTTGTGGAATCCGCAACAAAATTTGTGGAATCCATCAACAAATAAAAAATATATGTGTTTTGTAAATTTAAGCTATCGTGGAATTCGTAACTGTAAATGGAATCTGCAAATTTTAAGCAAAATCCGCATAAATCTGCGGAATCCACATGAAATTGCGGAATCCGCCTATATTTGCGGAATCCGCCTATATTTGCGGAATCTCGAACAACTACCTATTCGCTTGTTGCGGAATCCGCAAAAAAAAACTAATGTGCCGACAAAATTTACGTAACAGGTATTTGTACGCGGAATTTACGGAAATTTTATAAGTGAGTATGTTTAAGAACATGTTTTATAACATGTTTGAAGAATTGTATCTGGAACCCAGGAACATAAAGACACAAAATTGTGCGCATATCCAGTGCACAGTTTGGCCTCATAATGACGTGTTCAAAATAGAATCATGAATAATCATTTTCCTGAGTTGAAAAAGCATTCAGGGCAGCTAACCAAGTGCACTATAAGCCGACAATAAATAGAAGGACACCCGTAGAGTCAAAAACCAAAGTGTTATCAGACAAAGTTTGAAACTAAAAAACACACTAAGGCATTAGAACTTGTTCTACGCAATAACGACGCAATAGTAATGTGACTAGGCTTATACAGTTTAAGCCGAAACGTATTAGCCCCAAAAACCGCTAAAATATGGCATATTTTTTGATTGAGAAAAAACTCAAAATCTATTCAAAGTCATTTTTTTTTATTTGATTAGCACAAGTCAAGGCAATTCAAATACGTAGTAAGAATTAAGAATTGTAAGAAATAACGGTGAACTTAATCATTCGCACCAAAACAGGAATGATTTCTCATCAATTTATTTGCGAAAAACTGATAGCAATTAGAGTTTTTAAAATCAGTATTCAAAAACCAGCAAGTCATTTTAGCACTATCTACTGCTTGTGCAATGAGCGTAAAAATTTCTTTCAAAGGTACACGCAATTTATGGTCCTTGTTAAATTTTTACGTTTAAGAAATGTAGCGATTGGCAATCATTGATTTTTTTACGCGTTTGGTATAAACAAGAAATTGATGATGGACAAATGTTATTACCACAGTTTGATGTTGAAATCTTTCCAATAGATTTTCTCAGATTCAAAAGGCAAAAACATTTAGATCTAGATATAATTATAAAAAGTGAACTACGTTGAACGCACTTCCATAAATATTTTTTTGGCGAAACAGAAAAAAAAAAGAAATTTTATTGTACCAACTGTTAATTTGTATATCATGTTGGACTACTGTCTTTCTGAATATGCTATTGAAAGATTTCTGGTGATTGCTTGGATCTTTTTTTGAATCATTATTTATGCTTCAATGAAAGTAATTGTCTTATCTTCAACTAAAAATCTACAAAAAACACTGTCTAAAATTCTAAAAAGTGTAGTCATTAAATATGCCAAAACTGCCAAGCAAACCACGAAATGAAAAAAAAACAGAAACAAGTTGAGTCGCTAGAGCATTTTTGAGCACAATATCGATGAAACTCTGCCATTGGAACTTGTTACACATCAACGGTTGCATGAAGGTGAGAAATCAATATATGTAGAATCCAGCCATAAACTTCATTTGCCGTCGTTTTTTGATTGTCTTGCATTGATGTGGCTGCATTTGTTTTGAATCTAAAATTTCCATGATAATTGATGGTTGGTATTCACAAGTACCAAAATGATAAATCAGTCTCATTTGTACCAAAATAAAAAATCAATCGCGTTAGTACCAAAAATATTCAATTGGCCTAAGACTATTAAGCCGACTACTTTGGGCTCTTGTTTTAAGGTCGCCGGTGGGTGAGCTACGCGCGCGTCGCCGCTTTGCGGCGATAACCGGCTCTAATTTTCGTATAGAGTCCTACCCTCTGTTGGCAAGCTCGCAACACGTTGGCGCGACTGCGGCGGTCATTATTCCGCTGTTTAATTTTCTTCTGTTTGAACAGTAGAAAATTAATTTAATAATTCGTTGACTCACAATTCGACAAATCAGAAAATCGAGTTGAATAATTTTGGTACAAATGGGACCGATTTTTCATTTTGGTACAAATGAACGTTGGTACAAATGGGACATCACCATAATTGATAATAAATATCAAGCTAAGATTGTTTTTGGTAATTTAGCTTTTTAGTATAATGATCATGAATGCTGGTCAGGGTAACGCCGTAAACGTACTGGTTGCCTTATAACTTTTCTGTTTAATTTTTTTTTGAAAAAATTGAAAATGTTTTTTTTATACTTGTTTCTTAAATTATTCCTTTTTAGTTCATCTTTTTAATTTTAAACATCTTCCCCGACATACCATTCAAATTGCAAAACGATAAGTTATGCATCAATTACAGCCATATTTGAATTAACTAGCCTGCCTCAATTCAACTTGGGTTGACTTCTGAGCCTGATTTATTCGCTGCCTATGCAACGCGCTAAAGGAAAGTTGGAAATTGGAAACTTTACGCAAATCATTTATACTTGGTCCAAAATGGTCAAATTGGCATTAATCAAAGCATTAAAAATTCACAATAAAAGGTCTCAGATGAAACTTCAGACTAGTAAGCAAAATTTTGTCAAAATTTAGTACTTTTTTGTGCAGATAAAAAAAACTTATTCTTAGCATAACTTGAAATTACACAAAAAGCAGCACATTTTTTTCTCTCATAACATGGTGAGATTACATCATTTTAACAGAAACAAACTGACAAACAGAATGACCAAAAAAGAAAACAACAAAAATATTGAATGTTTGTTTTTACATTAAGAACCTGCAGTTTTTTTTACATTAAAAACTTCAGTTGTATTAGAATATCGCTTTTCTGTACCAAAGTTATTATAGTTATTTTTAACACGCCCTGTAAAAAACTACTATAGACTTTAAATCTTTAAAACTTTTTTGTTTTAATTTTATATTGCAATTACTTGCGCCCATTGAGCAGTTTTAACAACTACCATTAAAAGATTTTATGGATAGCAAACATCGTGTACTGAATTTATCGCATTAAGATTTCAGCATATGAAAATAACTGGTTGCGTTGCATTTTTTACAAAGGCATTCTTTTAACAATCGTGTGCCATAACAATTCTTTCTCGCAAAGTATGGTCGACTTTTTAAATAGATGTTTTTATTTTTAATTTATTTCCTCCTTTTGAAATTTTGATAACAAATGCAATTGAAGCTCCGATGTAGCAACATACGGTTTATGGAATTAAATATTTATACCACACCGTATAGTCAAAAATGACTTTTCTTGCATTTTTCCACAGTTATTTTCCAAATGAAGCGCGCTTATATGCGATCTTAAGCCATAGATATCAGATAACGCTCAGCTGTGAGATAAAAAAAACTTCATATAAAATTCTCGTGGAATTTTGGTGCACATCAAGTTCATATACGCTTTTGAAATAGATATCATTGTAGTCTTGCTGAGATTTTTGACATCTTCATGATGAAAAGTCAATGAAATTGATTCCATTTGAGAAGTTACAACGTGAACAAAAAAAATATTTTACGTTTTTGAAATTTCATTTGATTTAATCATGCGCAATTTCGATACTCGTGCTTCAATCAAGTACCAAATTTTCCCGACCAGGGATCCGTATTCGTACAAACGCGACGACCATTATGTTGCCGACAACATCGAGCCGAAATGTTGCTGGGGCGGGGAGTTGTGCCTCAAAATGCTCATTTTAATTACACTCTTAATTCCAGTAGTTTTTATTGCTACGCGACATTTCTACCCCAAGATTAAAGCCCTGAACGAGGAAAAATTATCAGTTACGATTCAAAATTTTAGACCTTACCAAAACGATCAATACATTTGCGTTTCGCATCATTTGGACGAAGATCAAAGTTATTACGTCACAAAGTATTCGACTTTGGATCCGAACGCAGCTGCTCATCATATGTTATTATACGCTTGTGAAAAACCTGTTTTCGAGCATGGAAAAATTTGGAGGTGCGGCCATGTTTCGCCTGCTGAAGATAAAAAACGTTTGCCAATTGCAACGCAATGCGGCGCTGGAGAAAGCGAGGTTATTTTTGCCGAAGCTATGCAAGCAGGGGCTTATGAACTGCCTAATAACGTATCTTTCAAGCTAGGCCAAGGAACGAAGTATAAATATCTAACCCTTCAAATTCACTACGCCACTACTAACAAATTCGACAAGGATCCAAATCTAACCGACAACTCAGGGTTGCAGCTGTCATTGGCGAAAGAAGCGACAAAATTCAATGCCCATACAATGCTTATAGCAAATGGCGGGGGGCTCATTTCGAAAGATGATGATGTTACAAATCTAGACATTCTCTGTAAAATAATGGCGCCAAATGAAAAAATCACAATGAAACCTTTTGCATTTCGAACTCACGCCCACTCTTTGGGGCAAGTTATAAGTGGTTATACAATAAGTACGAAAAACAAAACGGACTGGAAGCTAATAGCAAGGAAATCGCCTCAACTAAGGCAGACATTTTACCCTATTTTGAGGGATGATTCGATTGAGAACATGCAGGAAATTGCTGTGAGGTGCTCGTATAAAAACCCGACAGGTAAACATAATCACCATAAAAACAATAATATCCGAATCAAACTATTAGAAATATACAGAAAAGTTAATGCCATGGCAAAGTCTATTCTCAAAAATTAACACGTCTAAACTAAGAAATGTCGTGAAAAAAGAAAAAAATGGTGACTTAAATAGTACCTTCAAAATGAACAAATTAAAAACCTTTAATTAAATTTAAGCGCTGTAATATACTGAGAAGAACAATATACTGACTTAAAAAGGAAGAAACTTAAGACCTTCAATTAAATTTTTAGCAATATGTAATTTGTTTTGCAACTTCCGAATTGTTTCTTGCGAGGAGCAACTGAAAAACTTTCCAATTCTAGGACTTTCGACTTAAGCGCTTCAGTACAAGATCTCATTCGAATCCAAACGACTTGTTGGCGGACAACATTAACTTTTTTGTCGTAAAAAAAAAGAAAAGAATTTAAAGAATCAGGAAAAGATTAAGGCACCGGTTGTGAAGATTAAATGATTTGAGTGAAGCCTGCGCCAAAAAATGCAGTTTCGGTTTATAAAGAGTAGTCCAAAAAAACTAGTAGTTTGGACATTCTAAAAAAAGTCACAATTTGTTTTGAAATTTTCCCCCTTGATTCGCGAAAATTATAAGCACGCCATTGGTGGGAGCAAAAATAAACATTCCAAAATAATAAATCACATTTAACTTCCTGGATCGGCCTCAATAGACAAAAAATGACTGTCAATATACTAAAAAAAAAATTGGAAGTCATACAAAATTGAAAACTTTTGGTAAAATGATCTGATCGAATTTAAAAAAAAAAACTTTTTCTAGTTTACAAAAATTCATTAAAAAAATTTTGGCAAAAAATGCTAGCCATAGACTTCTGTACTTTTCTGCAATTTTCTGTACTTATAGAATTGCATGAAAAGTGTACGACTAGTATTTTTCCATAATTGAAAATTGTATGAGTAGCAATTTTGATCAACCCGGATAAACGGAGTGGGCTAAAAAAAAAGACATATCATAAAGTACACTCGTCGTAAGCCAATCAGAATCTAGATTAGAAAACACGCATGAAATATATTTTTTTCTAAATTCTGATTGGCTGAAAATCATTGTAAATCTAGGTCACAATGTGTACATTGGGGCGACGAAGGCAGACGAGATGTGCAATCTGTACATCATGTACTACACAGAATCGGGCAGTAAAATGTGGAGCAGATGTGCTAATTCGTGGGATCCATACTACGCTTGGCACCAACTGGATACACTTTTTAACCACAGCAGCCATTTGACCCCGAAAGAAGTCACAGAGGTCAACAAACACAAAAAAAATCAGCCGACTACATAAAATGCTAACGCTACAAACTTGTACAGAAGTGAAGAAGTATCAAACTAAATGAAACTTAACAGAGCCTTAGATCTTTTTACTTGAAAACGCTTCCTTTGGCTTTGGTTTTAAATTTAGCAAACAAACATTGAATTGAAACTGTTTTCTTGATATTTGAAGCAGAAATGCTTTTAAAAGGGGAGCGAAAAAAGAAGAAAACAAATGCTCTATGGTTTCAATTTCCGGTTTTCGATGACCTCAATGATGTGGAGAACATTGTTTGTCATTTTTGGTCGTTTGTTTACAAAGTAAAATCTCAAATAGAGCTACAAATTAGTGACAAATTTGTCAATTTTAAACCAAACGAACGAAATCGATCAGATCACTGCTACATTTTAAATTATCCAGCCGTCTTTTGACGTGTCTCAAGTAGTGTTGACAAAAAATGGAACGCTTACGGTTTTTTGGTTTTTAGTTGAAGAGTCGATGAACTTGAGGAAAACTCTTCTGTATAACGTAATGATTGTTTTTCACTTTTTGCAAAAGAATCTTTTAAAAAATTTCATGTGCTCAAAATGATTTTTTTGCAGTTTGATTTTTGATGTGTTTTTATTTTGAGTTCATTTCCTTTGCTTATAGGAAGGCAAACTTTGCCATCGAACAGCGAGAGTGTAAAAAGTCAGGAAAAAAGTTAATTTACTTTATTTTCAAAAACCGATTTTAATTATCAGATTTCGCAGCAAACAAAAAAATTATCAATTCATCCAGTTTTCTGAAATCGGGCGAAGTTTATCATAACAGTGCTGATCAAAAATTAATGTTTAAATTCAATGAGCTTTAAGGCCATCTTTTTTATTAATGTCCCGAAACACTTCTTAATTTTTTTTGCGAGAACATTTCAAGTGTCGTTGAAATAAAGTTTTTTATTCAAGTTTCCATTGAATGTTTGTTTCTGAAGCAAATGTTTTTGAAGAAATTTTGAAATCTTTGAAAAACATGAAACTAGTTTAGAAAAAATTGCAAATGATAAAACGTTCAGAGCTGTTGAGCAATTGGACTTCAAATTATGATTTTTTTTCTCAAAAAATTGCTCCTGGTGACCTCTTGAAGATATTTTGGTTTTGTTTGACGTTTTGTTTGACACCAAAGAACTATTTCAAATCACGTTAAGCAAGGCAGTTTAAACGCTGAGCTCATAGATAAAAATTAAGGACTGCAAAAACTAACAAATTTGTGTCTACAGTGCTGATTGAAAGTATCAGATTAAACTAAATTAACAAATCCTGAAACTTTAAAAACGTTTTTCTCAAAATGAGCTGAGATAAGACAAAAATAAGAACCACTTTAACTTTACCAAAACTATTTTAGTGTAATTTGTTTTACAATTTTCTTGGCCAAAACTTTACCCTAAAATGGGTTATTTTGGTTTCTTATACTCAACCGAAAATTATGCTGATTCTGAAAAATCAATTGATGAGCAAGTTATATAAACATAAGCCCCTTATACAGCTCAACAAACTTTTAGAAGAGTATAGCCTCCATAAAATTGCGCAAAACGTTTAATTGTTGTTTTAAAGCAAAAAATTGTAGTTTTATTTTGTAAAATGACATTATTTGGCCATCAAAAAAATATATATTCGTTTTTTGAATTTTTTGAAGGTTAATTTTTCAAAATTTTGTTGCGCTGTAAAAGAGGGTAACTTTGATTTAATTTCTTTTATCAATTGACTCTTTAGATTTAGCGTACTTTTGATTGAATGAAAGAAAGCAAAATGAACCTTTTTTGGGGTAAAATTGCTGTCCCGAAATTCCCAAAACATTGCAGCCTTTTTATATTGGTTTTCATTTGTTCTTGTCTAATCTGAATGCAACTTGAGAAAAACGCGCTCAAAGTTTCAAGTTTTGCTCAATTTGTACAGATAATTTAAATCAGCACTGATAATTTCAAATCAGCATCTGCAGTTTTTCGAAGATTCATTTTTAGCTATTTTATTTTGATTCATTTTTTCAATCGAATCGGTGAAGTGTCGAGAATAGGAACCTTTGCGTGTGAGGAAACATTTCCAAAAATATCTCAACGTTTTTTACACTTCAAAAAACTATCAATTATTGATTTTTTGAAAACACGTTTTTCGTAAACGGTAAAGTCGAAACACTCGAAGCTTTTGCAGGATATGAACAGTACTGTTTTTTATTAGCTTTGAAATTTTGCAGAGCACACAAAGACAAAAATGCTCAAACACAGTGGCAAGGATTTGATCGCAAAGACTGTAGTATTGAGACCTGTGTCATAAATTACTGATAGTGAGATCTTTTATGCGGATAAAAAACACTGAGGCAAAGTGGAGCTCCGCACCGTTTTTGATACACTATAAATGCATAAAACATTAGTCGAAAAAAAATAGATGTCGACAAAAACTTGGTGAACCAAACATTTCGTATGGCTCGATAAAAGCAATGAGGGGCCCAGCTAAAGCTGGAGGTATATGTTTAATATTGAATGAACTTGCTATACTGATGAGGCACAAAAAATATGATTGTTAAATTTTGACTTTGCTCAAAACCTTAGTTGTTTCTCTACTAAAATAAGAAATAAAAGTGAAAACTTTTGAGATTATCATTTTTCCCAAGGCAATAACATTTCTCTTACAGAAATTTAAGCAGCCGCCGCTTCAGAAGGAACTATTATCAAGAGCACTTTTTTCAATTGAACTTGTCATCTCAAATTTGATTGATAAACTTAAAGAAAAATTTAAAAGTTTCTAGAAAACGGTCAAAAGGATTTCCAAAATCCATGATTTTTTTCTGCAAAATGCAGGTTGTGGCTGCTCAAGCAGAGACGATTCCCGAAAAAGGGTTTCTCAATTAAAAGCAAGCTGAGGATTTGCACGGTAGTTTTCGCGTAAATTCAAAAAGATTGGAATAAAACTGTCAAAGTTAGAAGCCCAATAACTCATTTTCGCATAAATTCAAAAAGATTGGAAAAAACTGTCAAAGTTTGAAGCTCAATAACTCATTTTTTAAACAAACTGGGCATTGCCAGTTATAAATGTAGGTTTTCATCAACCTGTTGTTTTGATTGGACCAATGATATCAGATTTCGCATTATAGTTAACGAGATATTTCCAAAAAACGGTCAGAAATCATAAATTTGACATTTCCGAGAATCATAAATTTTTGAGTGAAAAATTATGCGCAGCCGCTCACGAAGAATGGATTCACGCAACCTGTACTTTCGATTGAACTCAAAGTTTTAGATTTGGGTGGATACTTGAGACTTTTCAAAAAAAAACGGTTGAAAACCCTAACCCATTGAACCCAGAATCTCATATAAGGCTCGGTAATTTTTGAGAATATTAAAAAAGTTGAAAAAACGGTCAAAAATCAAACATTTGGTTTTTCTTGTGTAAAAATTATTGTGAATGTCCGTCAATGCAGAAGAGCTTCCCGCTACCCATTATCTTCATTGAATCCACGATATCAGATTTGAGAAGGCTAGTTTTCAACAAAAGTCAAAAAGATTCACAAAACCGCCAACAAGCAAAAACTTATTTCGAGGGCCATTTTTTCATCTGTAAAAAAGTATGGACATAACCACTTATGCGAAGTTTTTTAAACATTTTTTTTCCATTGAAAGCAGAAACTCATATTTGAGAGCGATAGTTTTCCAGAAAACAAAATAAAATCAAAATATGGGTTTAAAAAAAACTTTTTTGAAGGCTGTAGACAGAAAAGTCAACTAAAAAGGTTCTATGGGGAGTATGCAGGCACACAGGGCAATTTCAACAGACCGATTAATAAACATACAACCATTTTGAAAAGTGCAGAGGGAAGTGTTAAACTTGCGTTTCCCTTGAACCCTTGAAGCAACCAAAATTAGATTCTTAAGCCGATGAAAAATTTGTCGACGTAATTTGGGACGAGGATTTTTTTTAGCAAAACAAAAAAAACAAAGAAGGAAAAACGAAGTCAGGGTAAGTAAAATTACAAACTGTAGGCTCATATCAAACATTAGCAACATTAAAAAAACGCACAGCAAATAGAAAACGATTCCAAGATGTGACAACTACGCCGACAACAGATAAGCAGACAAATAATTGGCTAACAATTTTGTTTGAAACAGAGTTTTTCCCGTTTGAAAAAAAGGTCCCGGTGAGATTCGAATCCAGGTTATTTGCCGCCCCAGGCATATTCGTTAACTCCAGGCTAAGTTGGCCTGGAACGCTAAGAAATTCAATACATTATGAAACAAGGTAGAGATTAGGCCAGACGTCCAGATGAGTCCTGCAAACAAAATTGTATACGGGAAAAAATCTAGTACCCTATTGCAATACCCTTGCTTATCGCAAGGGTAATCAAAACAACAAATCTGTGTAAACTTACTGTGTAAACAATCTTAGACTTTAAAACGAATGAGTTGAGGGAGCAAGTTAATATCCTCTACCCCCGTCCTTTAAATTGAACGCTGAGGGGAGGATGTTACCTAGGTCTAATTGGAGGGGGGCTGTGTGAAGTTAGTACGAATTTAGTTTAATGCAAATTTAATTTCTGTAAGCTTACCGCGACACTAATCGTCTTTTTGTCTTCGAGTCTTGGTCGTTCAAATCTTTCAAAATGGCAGTTGATAACTTCTTTTCCAATTCAGTTTGAGCCTTGGATCTATGTTTCCACCGAACTGGTTCCTCACTTTGGATTCCACTTTCTCCTGTCCATGCATTGGCTACCTTTTGCGGGTCTGCTAAACGACCATTCGAAGATTCGTCTATCATTTTCGCAAAAGTAGGAGCCATGACTGCAAAATTTTGTGCAGCTGCGTTAATCATATTTTGTTTTTATTTCATTAGTTAGATAACGGAAAAAAACGAAAGAAAGTAGCCAGATATGCCTCAATCACGGCACCTAATTCGGGATTTTTAATTCGCATTTAAGCTTAAGTTAGCTAAAATGATTGTTTATTTTCAAAAAATAGACGCTCATTACGTTTACCGACGCTGAAGAGGTGCAATTTAATTTACTCAAGCTTTGCGTAGTCAGAATGGTATTCAATAAATTTACATGCAGACTATAATCACGTTTTTGAAACAAAATTTTAACATAATGTATACGGCTGCTTCAAGCAAAGCAATACTGATTAAAAAAACTAACTAATTGATATATGAATGCAAAAAAAATACATTTAAGTATCCCATCTTAGAAGCAGATTCAGAAACTCTTCATGATCCATGGTTAATTTGTTTTGACAAGTGAGCTAAAATATTACAATGATTCATTTCAGCTCAATTCAAAAAACTTAATTAACTTCTTCCGCGAACTCGCGATTTTTTTAATCTCTGATTCCGAAGAATTTTCACACTTATGCGAAAGACCGCACGGCGTTGGGGGGAATGAAAGACAAAAATAAACTGATAATTTAGCCGTAAGTTCATTTTAAACGAGTTTTATTAATTTTAGTTACTGAGAGTAATATTAAGGCAGCAACCAAAATTTGGAAATTTTAAAACAAACGATTTTTCTGGAAGCTTTTCTTCAAAAATTGAACCCTCTCACTATCCAAAGCTTTACCCTTTTACAATAAGTTTACGACATCAGGTTTCGGCCGACCGATCACAAAACCTAATAAAAGGGGTCTTTGGTGCCTATATATATATATTTTTTACCAGTTTTTCAAAATTTTGCTTGCAGCGCAAAAATTTCGGTAGATTTTAGTTGTTTTCTATGAGCTTTGAAAGAGTTCAATTGCCGACCAAAAATTACTCCCAAGAAAATCTAGATCCGCGCGATTGTACTGCAAAAACATAAGGCAGGCGAGCAGAATAGTGATAGAATTATAAAAGACTATGCTGTGTAAGAAATTAGCAATGTTTTTAAAAGTTGAGCTCACCGCATTTTCAAACTCAGCGACGAAGCGAAAAGTTACCCATTGAAAATTTTAAAATTTTGAAAACAGCACTCACAAAAAGTTCATACGTTTGTGTTTCGAATGTTGTTCAATTTGAGGGGAATATGTTGGGAACCACTATTACCAGCTTTGCACAATTTACCGAGTGGCAACTAAGCCGACAAAAATTGGGTGAACTACCAATGAGGCGAAACAAAAATCTTTCGTTATCAAAAATTTTAGAACATTTGCAAATCAAAATGTTTACGCCTCTTCCATTAAAAAAGATTACAAAAAAACCTGTTTTTCTCCAAACGACGCACAATCAGGTCATTAATCTAATTAAACTTGAGCAAACGCAATTGAGGTGAAGAAGTTTTCTTGAACAGGAAAAAAAATTCGAAATACTGTTATATTCCTTCTCTTTGTTACTGGTGGTAAGTGTTGATTATTTCCCTTTATGAAACTTCAGCTCAATTTGGTGAGTTTGGCTGCAGCTGATGGTCCTTTTGCAGATTCAAAAAACAATCATGTGTTGTTTTGCAAAAAAAGTATACTTTCTACAGTCATGGACATAGAATTTGTAGTTTTCTGATTTCAACAAGCCAATGAACGAATCTTTTTGTGCGTTTTTGACTTTTGCGCTGCAACTATTAAAGAAATAGGATTGGACTTGACACATGCTAGATAGAAAATATTTGGAAAGAGCTTAGTGGAAATAACAACTCGGTTTCAATTTTAATGTAGGTCATTTTACGGCGGTATGATTAGCAAGCCAAGCTCTTCAGCTTCCCAAAGAACCATTTTGAGCCTTCCCAATTCAGCTTCGCAAAGAAATATACTGGCTAATTTACCTCTTCGAAATAAGATTTCCCAAATTTTTGATCGACTCACACTGTTCAAATAACTCTAGCATTTGTCAAAATTTAACCCTTTATCTTAAATAATTGCAGAGAAAATGACAAAAACGTCAAAAAAATTCGTGTATTTGCTTGTTTAAATCAAAACGTTGCAATTTCTATGTCCCGTCACTGTAGCTCAGACTTCGCTGTTACGATTTTGATGCCTTTGATTAGAGTTGCAATTGCTTGAAAGTATATTTGCATTGCCATGCAAGAGATATGATTATTCAAGCTAACAGACCATAACAGAAAAAACTCACTTAGATACACACTTTTTGTTTTAGATGTCACAAAATCAGGTTAAGACACAGAGGGCAAGCTGAGTTTTGCGTAACTTGCAATACAGGTTTAAGATAAAACAACAGAACGCTCAAGAGCTATTAATGAGGACTTTTAGCGTTGTTTCTGATGAAAAAGGAATTAGAAAAACAATTCAAAAACCAAAAACACTGGATTGTTTCAATTTATTCCATTTTTTTTTACAAAAGTTCTGAGTATGGTTAAATTTGAGCATTTGTAATTTTTAGGCCAATGTCTATCATTCTCATTAAGAAATTTTGCAGGAAACTTGTAATTTTGTAGGAAACAGAATATTAGGTAAATGCACAAAATAGGAAGAGACTCTAAGAAAATTTGAAGTCATTTTGAACCTTGGTACCACCAGAAAAATTTTGGGAGAAAAATGAGAATGACTTCAGAAAAACAGCTATAACAAAATCACCAGTATTAAATAAGCTTTATAAACTACCAAGCTGCCACTAAGCTGACATTAAATGGATAGACGGGTTTGATCCGAAATCAGAACAGGTCATAAGAAAATGTTGTCATAAAAAATGAGCAATTCAGTTGAAAACTTTCAATTATTGCAACACAAAGTACCTAAATTTTTTAAAGAAAATTCAATCTAAGCCTTACAAATATAAGCAGACAAACGAAAGTCCGGCAGGTAAATTTTTCCTGAAAAAAAATTCAGTTTGATACATTCTGAAAAAACAAGGTCATGCCGGATTCGAACACCCAACCTTAGAGTAAAAAAGCTATTGCGTTTCCTTTGGGCCAAGTGCGAAGGGATCTCGAAGAAACTACGGTTCACTAATGAAGCAACTCCACAACTTCTTACATCTTTGTAAAAGTTGTTCACGAGAAAAAGTCTACTTCCAAATTACAATACACTTGCTATCGCAATGTTGAAAAGAAGTTCCGAAATGCCAATTGAAGCTTGAACCAGAACCGTGAAAAATTTATATCACTCAAAAAACCCTTCAAGTTTCAAGATTCTTTTATAATTGATATTTTTTGATAAATCTAAAGCAAACAGTAAAAAATGGTAATAACGAAATGGTAATAACTAAACCGTAAGCTCATCACTTTCAAGTGAGTTTAAAACATATGCTCCTACGTCATCTAATTGGTTTATAGCTGTACACAGATAATCAACTTGAGCCCAGAAAACTTCGACTTAGGGCGGAAACAAGTGGACTGGTTTTATTCCACTAGCTGGGCTGGTCTAATTAACGACTACCAAAATATTTACCGAATAACGGAGTTTTATGTAAAAGGTGTCAGCTGCAATTAACTGCTGCAATTAATTGAAATAGCAACATTTCTGTCAGCTTTAAAACAAGTGTGACAAAATTGAATTTTCAACTTTCAAAATTACACAATTTTTGAATTGGGCGCATGCTTCAAATAACAGAGTTTCAGACAAACTCGCAAACAAACTTGTATTGAAACAGTTTCAATTCAGTTTAAGCTTGATGGGTCAATTGTCTGAATGTATTGTTAGAAGTCGTGAATGCAGTCCCAAATCCTTCGAGAAGAGTTGCGAGTTTAGATCTTTATCTTGGTTCGTCGCCAATGTCGCCTCTTGGCATTGTAGCGAATGGTGTTGTTTGTCTTCATTCTCACCCACTGCGGCAGAGGTCTGTTCTGTTTCATCTTCTTGGCCAGACGAACCTTCTTGTAGAGGTTCTTCACGCTTCCCATGTTTGACTCTGAAAGTTATCAAACACACGCATAAAACCATTTCTAAACTCTGCGCCCAATAACTTATAATTAGTGTTCGACGCTAAGTCGACAGTGCGAGGACGACCACGATCCGCACTCATTGCACGCGGATGTGTGCTGCAACATTACCCATTACAGAAAGATAGCCAGCAGACAGTTTGAAAAGAGCCAATGAAAACAAAGAAGCAGAAAAAATACTAACTTGTTTTTTATAAACTTCAACTTTCGAACTTCATAGAAAAACATATCTACTCTTCAAGCTATTTGACCTTAACTTTTTAATCCGCTGGGAAATCTGATAACTAAAACCCTTTTCGAAACTTGAAGTCGCTCACATTTTCTCGTGACCTTTACACTAGTGCTGTTAGATAGTGAAACTTGCCATCATAACACAGAAAATGAATTGAACTTAAAAAGAAATCAAAATCAAACAGCGAAAAATAAAATTGGAGTATGAACATATTTAGTACCTTTCTTTTTCCTGAAAAAAAAACATCAAGATCCATTTCAGTCTTCGCTACGTTCATTTAACTTTAAAAATAATCAAAAAAGCGAACGCAAATGAAACAGCGGTTCTCCGTTAAGGGTGTCGATCCTTGCTGTCGTGGATAAACAATTGTTCCTCACTTAGGTTATTATTTTCGTCTTAATGTTACAGATCAGCTAGAGGTCATCCTATCAGAATTAGAGAACATTGTTAGAAGACATGCACATGCCAACACACCATGCGAAAAATAAAAATGACAACTACAGAGAGGACATAGAATCGCAAATTAACTATACAAAACAAATCTAATGTTTCTAATTCAAAAAATTTTCTTAATTTTTTTTTCTAATTTTCTATTCATCCTCTTCTTTCTAAACACTAGTTTCTGCATTGCTACTGTAGCTACTTCTAAATCTTACTTCTAAATCTTCTTCTACATTTTCGTACTAAGTAACCTATCCATGCACTCCTGCTATAACTACTCCTGCACTTCTCTCATCTTCTATGGCACTGCTATCTACGCTACATAGGCCAAGCCACCCTTCTGTACATGCTAACAAACAAGTCCTACTACTAAGAACACAAGCTCTGTCAGAGCAACACAGCATCCTCTCTCTAAGAACAATAACGCTTCGGCAATCCATTTTCTTCTGTAAAACTCATTTGTCAACAGAGCTGTAACTAAAAACATATTTTTAAAACTATAAAAATAACCAAAAAAGCGAAAGCAAAAGGAACAGCGGTTCTTCGTTAAGGGCTGAACAGCTCCAATGTCGATCCTTACTGTCGTGGATGAACAATTGTTCCTCACTTAGGTCATTATTTTCGTCTTAATGTTAATGATTTATTGCGATAATCCGGTAGCATCATTAGTTAAATTATCATGAGGAAAGTGTGACAGCCTAGAGCCATCATTCATCATTGCAATATCTATAGCTTTCATTTTATCTATATTTGTGCCAATATGTTGTCAATATTTTCCTATATATGTTTACATACTTTTTCGGTGGCTTACTCCTTTTATAATTTAATGATTGTACAAACACCGGATGTCAAACTTTGTCTCAATAGATAATTCTGAGAGAGCCTTCTATACAACTCAGAGAGAATTTTAAAAAAATTGAAATTCAGTGGATACTCCTTTTGAGAAAAATAGTCCACCAAGCTCCGAAGACAAGATCGTCTTAGCCCCTGCAACTAAAAAAAACTTCTAAGCAAAAACGAGAGTGTCACGCGCCGAAGACAAGATCGTCTTGGCCCTTGCAACTAAGAAACTCTAAGCAAAAACGAGAGTGCCTTTAGATAGCTGAGTTAGTATAGAACACCGCCACACTAAATAGTAAGGCATCAAAAAACAGTAGTTCGAGAAACATCATTAAGCAAAATAAGCTTCTTTTTGATAAAAAGTCTCAATCTCAGTCCAGAAATTATGGTCTTCAATTTTACTGCGCATCGGCAATGGATACCAGAAAATTTGAAAACATCAAAGAATTCTGCGATCCAACCGTTGGTCTCAATAAGGTGGCAGAATATTATATATTTTAGGGAAATCCTTAGGCTACAAAACACAAAAAATCTCATTGCAATAGTTACCAAATCAATTAATCTTACAGGAACGATTGGGGACAAGAAAAGGCCCTATCCGTTGCTTGCTATAAAGTGAGATCAAAATGAAATAGAAAAATTGAAAATGAACAAAAATATTTTCAAAACAAAAAATGAATGCAATAGTTTCAAACAACTACCACAAAAAAAAAATTTGCGGAAAAACTGAAAATACTCTAACCGCCTATAGAGTTAACCCAAATAAATCAAAATTATCAAATCTGAAGTTAAAGTTCTTTTACAAAAAGAAGCCCGTGAAAGAACTTGAAAACAAGACCATTCCTTAATTTAAAAAAATTAGCCGGAAAAATCAAACTCTTGAATTGCGAGCGACACTCGCAACAATCCTTCGCAGACAATAAACAGCCCAGACGAAATTGAAAAATCAAACTTTCTGGAAAATAATGATTTTGTTTCGAAATTTTTTTGTTATGTTAAAATAATACGCTATACATCAAGTTTAATCAATTTCAAAAATAAAATTGATCAAACCGAAAACACACATTAATTTAAACTAAAACTTACTCCACACACTTTAAGAACCGGAAAAAAAACAGAAACCATGCATCCGAAAAAAACTATAGTGCAAAAAATACTTTTCTAACAAAAGTACTATATTCCCCTCTTGAACAAGCAGAAATGAAATTATGAAAAAAATAATTACGTCAAAAGTCCACAAAAAATTACACCCGGCAAGTAAGCCGACAACAATAGGGACGAAACCAATAAAGCCGACAAACAAAAAAATTAATTATATCTGAAAATTTTATAAGCTGATATAGACCCAGAATAATTTCAACAGCTCTAGACCAACTGTTTAAGTACAGCTGTAAAGCACTCAAACTGGCTAGCAATAGAGATCTTAAAATTGGATATCTTATACGTGAAGTTATTTACGGGGAAAAAAGCGTAAGTCCAATTGCAATATCCTTGCTTATCGCGAGGGTAACGGTTACAAAAACTATTCAACGAAATGAACTATCTATACAATCAATTATACGAACATGAGTAAAAAATAAACATTCTAATTAAAATCCTGTAACTCTACCGTTGAATTTCTAGCCTGAATTCGAAATGTCGAACATCACATCATCCTTAGCCATACAAGTCGTTCAAAAAGAGTTCAAGTTCTAAATCTTTCGTATCACTAAAGAGTGTCAACATTGTCTGTTCCCATTGTTCCAATTCCTCTTCTAACTTTTCACCTTTAAATGAAACCTGTTTTAAATTGCTCATTACACTTTCAGTTATTTTTAAAGTGTCCTCATTTTGTTCTTGTATTACCTCTGAATTTTGCTTAAGATTTACCGAAGCGCCTTCGAAATTTTTCAACAGTTCTTGATCTTGACTTTGCCTCATCAAACTTTCCTTCAAACACTCTATTTCTTCTTTTTCACTTGCTACCTTTGACACTGACTTCTGAGCTCTGCTAGCCGGTGAAACGCTAAGTTTGCGTATTTTTCTAAATTCCCTACGGGATTCAGACTTTCTTAAGAAAATGAAATGCTTCTGTTGTTGTTGTTGTTCACTTTCCGATTTACCTTTTCCTGCTAATTTAGTTTCACACCCTGGTGTTACTTCAGTAGCTGAGTCTAAATCTAACGACAGTCCTTTTTCCAGGGTGCTAAAAGACTCCAAACTAGTCGTTTCAATCATAGACTCTCTAAACCCACTCCAATTTGAAACTTGCGAATCAATTTCGCTGTTGGAATCCTCGTTTTCAGCAACTGAATTATTGGCAACTCGGCAACGCCCTTGCTTGAAAAATTTCGATTTCGGCGGCTCGACTGTAAACGCATCTTCGCTTTTAGAAACAGACGGTGCTCGAGACAATCTAGACTTTTCTAAAAAAGGAATAGAGCATATCTTTCGCTTTTGAGAATCAGCTTTCAAATTTTCCGATATCAACTCCGCCGACGATGAAAAACATTTTGTTTGCACTTTAAAAGCTCCAAAACATTTCGCTTTCTCATTGTTTTTGGAAATCTTCTGATCGTCACAATTGCTTTTTCTACAAGAATTAAAGTTACAACTTGAGCTTTTGGAATTTTGTTTTTGGGTTTTGACGTTCAGACAACCTTCCCCGACAACTGCCAAATGTTTTCGAACAACAATCAAGAAAGGAATATGGTCTATGTTCGTGTTTGATATAAGTTTATCGCGGATCATCAAATAGTTGAAAGTTATTTCCTTGCAATCAGCCGAAACCATTATAATAGTCCTGAAACATGTAACTGTTCCCCTAAGGATCCGATCACCCAAAGAATGTGGATAAATTACCGTTCTATCAGATGATTATTACTACAACTTATTTTCGAAACGTTTCGTCATTTTACGTGGCTCTGTCAATCAAAGTTGACTTAAAAAATCGAAATACGAAATCTAAATTACTGAGCAAGCATTATTTAGGCAATTTAATTGAATTAAAAACTTTTCTATGATTCGAAATATACAAAATGAGGATTGATGCAAAAGCACTTAAGGGTCGAGGAGGCCACTCATGTTGTATTGCTCAAAATAAATTCGCATTTTAAATGTTTGGAGAACGCCTTGAATTTTCTCTGCATTGTGAATTCCATTTGGATGTCATGATTGCCACTGAAACACAAAAAGTTTTCTGTTCGGAAGCTGACTCAAATGATCACAATGATGAAAGATAAAACTCCAGCCCACCTGCTGTACGATCTTTTCATCTCTCTCATTCTGTCTTTGTCTGGCCTCGGCTGCTCTCTCAATCTCCTCTCTTCTCTCCCTATCTCTCTTCACTTTTTCCGGGTCAGCCAGTCCCCTTCCCTCCTCTGCTTTCAGTCTTTTTGAGGCCGCCTCTGCTGTACGCCTTCGACGCTCTTCCTAAAACGAACTCTTGATTCTACGATTTCACTATGTACGTTAAGAATTTTCAAATTGATGTCTTTTCGACAAGATATCCAGAACGATCAAAAATGGTATCATAATTCAATCATTTTACAGATGAAACGACAAATTTTGACTCATTTTCATAGACCGAAAAAAAACTATTTACGTTCTGCTATAATCATATTATACAATTACAAACTGAACACCTTTTTCTTTAAACAACAAATACACTGGTGTCAAAATTTACTTTTGCTCCGATCACTGAAGGTGGGGAGAAACAGGGTGGATCTAGGATTTTCTCGAGGGTGGGGGCTTTTTAAAGTCGACCAAATTGATTTTCCGAGCGCTCCCAGATCACTGTAAAAAAGACCCGGATGAACTTTGCCTTCGGGTGTGTACTATTTTTCTTATTTCCTGTTTATTTTCCACGCAAAATTAGGTACAAATAATAATCAAATTGGATCAAGTAAAGTATCATATTAAAGCCCATGCAGTCATGATTCGAACGATATAAAAAATTCCAGAATCTTCTTACAGCGTCAAGAAAAACCGCTCTAAATTTTTCATTTTTTAATCTGGTTTCAAGCGACAAAAGAGAGCTAGCAGGCTTTATTAGGCTAAAATAGACATCTTATGGCAAGCTGCTAAATCAAGAAAACCGTAGAAAATTCGATTTTACTCCAGTAAAAAAAAAAGATTTCAAAAACTTTATCAGCGTTTTCTTTAAATTTTTTTTTTAATATTTACAAAGAAAATTTTTTTTCAATGTACCAACGTTACTTTTACTATCAAAGTTCTAGACTTTGGTTCAGATCCTCTTATTGCCACAAACAAAAAACGCAGACAGAGTATGAGACGAAAACGAATCAATCAAAAAAATTATTTATGACAAATATTGAGAAATAGATCCACCAAAAATCTCATATATTTGTTTCGAATGTAGTTCAATTAAAGAATAAAACGTCAAGTAATAAATATCTAGCCAAACAAAAAGAAAATAAAAAGTTGTGATCAAGTCGGCAATACTGAATACTTCAGCTATAAAATATTTTGAAGTTTTAAAGCACCCGCTCTCTCCCCTCGAATCACACTTATGGTTAAGAAAAGTTATCGCTTTTGAACTTTGGTACGTATCGGTTTCGAACATGCAACCTCGAGATTTAGAGTCTCACGTCCTGCCCTCGGCCACAAATGCTTAACAATCGGCGAACACGATTCACAAATAAAGTAGCTACATATGCGAATAAATTGCCAATGCGATGCAGCAAATAAAAATAGACAATTTGCATGTAATAATTTAGAAGATGACAAATTGAACGCATCCACACTAAATTGAATGTAATTGGAAAGCATAAAGCCACTTTATGTATAAATAATGTATCTCAAAAAATTGCGAGACATTATGATTTAGAACATTTCTGAAATCGGGTTTGTATTAGTGTATGTAGTCTGAAACAAGTAACTTCTTTCGGTTCATTTGATGAGTTAAAAATGCATCAACTGTGTTAACTTATTACTAATTGAATGTAAAAGCACATTCTATCGAAAAGCCGAAAAAGGCCACCAAAAAGAGGCAACAAAAATAAAATAGTCGCACTATTACACTACACTCACTTATACCGACGTATACCGAAATCTTTTAAGTCAAAAAACCTTCAACGCAAAAATGTGTCACTGTCATTAGCAGAAAGTTAAACTAGTCTATTTCGATATCTTTATGGAACTAAATCAATGATTCGAAAAAATTTGGCCAAGCGTGAGTACCAAAGCGTGAGTACCAAAACAAGCGTGAGTACCAAAAAGCCAACAAACAGATTCAAATATAACTTATATTGCTTTAGTTGGGCAGTTTTATCATCCGCGGTGAACATATACAAATTTTGAAATATACAATCTGGAAAAAGAGAAAAGGAAAGAATGCTAGACTTATTCTCATCATCTTGTTTCGTAGCTTCCAGAAATAGCGCAATAGAATCTCGTTTTGAATCTTTCACTAAAAAAAAAAAACGATACTAACAGCAACTTTTTCAAATGAAAATTGGAAACCGCGCCATAACAACTATACCTTCACTGTGTCTTGATTGTGGCATTGAAGAAACTTGTGGTGCAATTAGCCTAGCCTCGCTAATGGGCTTCTAAAAACCAAGCAATTCGAAATACAGGACAAAATTCTCAACGTTACACCTAGCGGTAATTGACGTACACATAATAAAAAATTAATAATATAAAACTGAAAATCATGAGATTTTTAATGAATATATTTTTGTCATATTTGGAAGAATATATTACGATTAAACAGCCAACAGAGGAAACCGAAAAAAAAATTGATCGAAAATTTTTAATATTTTCCAACTATATTAGGTTAAGGCTCTTCAAATATCAAGAATTATTATGAGTGGCACTTTTTCCATAAAAATCACCCAATTTAAGAAAACTGGATCAATGAGTAATTATTTTTCTTCTAGTAAACATAAAATTCAGTTTCGGTTTCGAAACTAGAAATCTATAACCTTTTTTCGCGCTCATTAAGCTTTCGTAATTGGAGAACCCAAGTTGCCTACCTTTTCGAAAAAGAATTTGAATTGAACAAAAAGTCCACACATAACATATTTCAAAGTGATTCATAATTACATTAATATGTATGGGCAATTGTGTTATTATTATTATTTTATTATCATTAACTGAATAAGCACTCAAAAAATAATTCTGAAAAAAACCACCGTTTTTTTACCTTTTCCTCTAGAGTTTCTTCTTTCTCTGACTTCCCAAAACAGTTTCCCATAGCCTTCCAGCAGTTTCTGGTTAAACAAGCAACCAGAAATATCATAACCTGCTTGAAAGTTCAATCCTGCAGCTAGTCCACATCACCATTCTGAAAACATTCAATTACGAATTTACAGTTAAAGCAAATTGGTCAACCTAAAACGGCTCATTTTGACGTCGGATTTCTTTTTTTTACTGATTTCCACACGTGAAAACTGTTTCCACAAAAATTATTATCCTAAAATGTTAGTTTTATACCGACTAAATTGCTGGTCACCGGAGCAGTTTAATCGGTAAAAACCAACATTTTAGGATAATAATAAGAAGAAAGAACACCTGAATTACTATACAGTAAAAAGCCGAGGCATCAGTATAGCAAAGTGTAAATAATAAAGTTGGTTAAAATTCATTGGTTACATCAAACAAAAACACAACATCAGAAAACAAGCAATAAACAAAACAAAACAAAACAAGTTCGGTTACAGTTCAGAAATTGGTTGATTAAAATATATGAAGTTACGATATACTAAAAAAACATCACTTTTAAGAATTAAGAACGAGCTGGTATTTTAACTTTACAAACAACTTTATAGATAGTCCAAACATACAGCGTATATACAGAGTATATACAGATTCTCTTTCAAACGATGTCTGGAAAATTAAACTAAATTAAAACATATAGAAATAGCAAAAATGGATATCACGCCACGTATTTGTATTTGTACATATTGGATTGTTTCTCAATGCACTCACGTAAAATTCTTTCAATTTTTTCTTGAATCCTGTTCTCGATTTTTCTAAATAGCGCAAAATTATGGGCAGTGAATTCCATTTTTTAGAAGTCAAATGAAAAAATGATTTTTGTAGAGAAGCGGTTGAACAATGTTTGTCAAAAATAATTTGTTTCGTTCTTTTGTTGAGCCTATAATTGGCAGTCGGTAGTCTCAATGTATTTTGAAAAGCCTTCTTTTTGTTTGTAAGATATTGGTATAAGTATGTTATACACTTTAACTCAATTCTTTTCTCGATTCCAATGAACGATTTGCTAATGCGAAGAAGGGAAGAAGATTTAAATTTCGATCTGACATATGTTCTTTTAAACGCCCAGTTCAACTGTTTCTCTAGAGATAGCATCAAAATAGCATTAATTTGTTGTGAAAATATTGCTGAATAATCTAAATGAGATAAAACAAGACAATGAAGCAAGGCAACTAATGATAATGTCGTCAGTTGTTGTCCAATTGTATCTATAGTTTTAATTCCTTGTGCCATTTTTTGGAGAATTGTTTTGATTTGAGCATGAAAAGATAAACTTGAATCAAGAATAAGGCCTAAATATTTGCATTCTGATTTTTTGGCTACATAATGCCCATTAATTACTATTGTATCAGTATCTACATTTTTGCTATCATTTTTTTGACAAAATGTTATAAATTCCGATTTAGATGCATTCAGATTCAATTGGTTCTCTGCAAAAAATTCCGTTAGATTATTGAGTAATTTTTGCAATCGATTCAAAGCATCCTCAGAAATTATAGAAGAGGAAAAAACCATACAGTCGTCGGCATATTGAACTAAAGTACAACCTTCAGATAATCGCTCTTGTATGTCATTAACATATAAATTGAACAACAACGGACCAAGTACCGTTCCTTGTGTGACACCTCGTTTGATTTCAATCCAGTCTGAAAAGATTTCATTGACGTTTACTCTTTGAATACGTTTGTTTAGGAAGCTATCAATTAAAGCATTTGCTCCGTTTGAAAAACCGAGAGAAATCATTTTTTAATTAAAACTTCATGCGAAATAGAATCAAAAGCTTTGAACAGATCTAATAAAGCTGCATGTACGATTTTTTTTGAATCTATTTGATTTCGAATACTTTTTGTCACATAAACAAGACCATCTTGTGTTGAAATGTTTTTGCGAAATCCGAATTGAAATGGTGTCATTATTTGAAATTTGTCAAGATTTTCTGTTATTTGGGCATTTAAAATTTTTTATCAAAAATTTTAGAAAAAGCACAAGTTATTGATATTGGCCGATAATTTTTTGCATCCATTGGGTCATCTTTTTTAAACAAAGGGGTTACGTGTGCTTTTTTCAGTTCGATCGGGAAAATGTTCTCATCTAAGCAAGTATTTATGACAAAAGTTCAATGTGGAACTATAACTGATTGACCGTCAATGATTGCCCAAGCAGGTACGGTACAAGGTCCGAGAGGTTTTCTAACATTGATTTTTCGAACTATATCACAGCATTGCTTCACTGTAATGTGTTGAAAATGGAAAGGTGCAGATTCAGAGGCAGATTTGTTGTAGTTCGGAGGCTTTTTAGCGCCGAAAAATTCGCCTATGTTTGAAAAAAAATAATTTAATTATTTGGCAATTTTTTTTGTCTTGGGTTATCATTTCACTGAAGGAATTTCGTAGAACTGTAATTCGATTGTTGCCAGAACATGTACCTCTTATTTGGTTAATATATTTCCATTTTTGTTGGATAGTGCTGAGAAGTGAAAAACAGTTTTTTGAATGATCGAGTTGTTTATTTCCAATCAATTGGCTCATTTGATTACGTAAAAACTGGTACTTTGACCAGTTATCGCTTTTGCGTTGACTGCGATATGATCTGAGTGAATTCTCTTTCTTAATCAACAATTGCTGACATTCTGAATCGAACCATTCCGTTTTCAACACAATTTTTGATTTAAAATTACGAACAAATTTTTTTTGGAGCATGTTGCTGAAGAGCACTAGAAATTAAATAAATCATCGTCGAGAACATGTTTTGTGCGTCTGTACATTGATATAAGAGATACCAAGGAAGAGCGGAGAGTGTATTGCAAAATTCATTTTTCTGAGAATTTTTCTTATTGAAAGTCGAAATTATCCTCGGTAAACTTTTGCTGCATTTTATATCCGTCAAAATAAATGAAGCAAAATGGTCGGTTTTATAAGGTGTATCAAAACAAAATTCAAAGCCGTTTGTTTCATAGTCACTGATAATGTAGTCGATATGAGTTTTATTTGAGGAACTAATTCTGGTCTCATCGTTTGGACAAAAAACCTTCAATCCATATGGAATAATTATAAAATCTAAATTTTCTTTTTCTTTGCTATCCAGATAATTTATGTTATAATCACCCAGAAGCGTAATTTTATTAGAAACTGAAAATGCATTATCTACGTTAAGCATTAATTGTTCCAAAAAATCAATAAAGTTTGATCTGCTTGGATTATAACACAAATTAACTAACATTTTTTCTTTACTGGAAATGTTAAATGTAGATTTGCACTCAACCCACACTGACTCATATTTTTCTTTATCAAATTAAATTAAATCAGGCCTCAATTTCGGAGCCAATTTGACTGGTATATATAACAAAAAGCCATCGCCTTTCTTTTTTACCGCTGATTGCCTATCATATCTGAACATCGCATGCGTTCTAGGGTGGAGATTCCATAAATTGTCACTATCTTCTTTTTTAAGCCACGTTTCGGAAATTCCTATAATCGTAATTTTGCCCATATCATCAAAAACAAATTTCAATTGCATCCGTTTTCTAATAATACTTTGAAAATTCAAATGAACAAATTTAAAATTTGCACAATTTTTTGAGCAGATACCGTAGACTGTTTCAATGGTTTCAATAAGACCAGGGTTTTTTTCAACATCCCCACTTTGGTTCAGTAACAACGCAAAAAGGAAAAGATGAGTCAGTGTGGTAGCTCTCCGCTCATTTATCCCACATTTCGATGATAATATCTTTTGATGGCAGCTTAGATAGCCCCAGTAAACAATGGTTTTTTCTATATTTTCCATCTGAGCCTTGGAAATTAGAAAAATTGCACAAAACAACCAGAATTTAATATTCAGCATAATAAATTAAATAAATTAAATAATCGCCAAAGTTTGCACCAAGAAAAAATGCGAAACTAGTATTTCCTAAAGAATTTTGCACCGTTTTTTTTTTGAAAAATTGTATCATTTCTGCCGTTTTTGGATCTAAATTTGATGATTGTTGGGTTTGCTTCATTCTGGGGCGGGTTGTAATCTCACATGTGTTTGCATTAATATCAGAACCTCTAAAAGAATCTCTAAAACTTTGCACCAAAATTTCAACACCCCCATCAGAAGGATGCAAACCATCCGAGCTAAGCGCATCGGTATTTTGACTAAAATTTGTGTTTATGTCTAAAATATCCAATTTTACTTCGCCCAAATCCTTTACATTCCGTACTAAATTAAGAATTTGCTTGTTTAGCTTCTGTACATTTGGATTAAAATCTTTTCTAAAAGCGCCTAAGGGAGTTACAGTACATAGTGAAATTGTTTCTGGGGAGAATTTATGATTTACGAGATAAATTAGTTTTTCTAAGCTACTCACGGCTTCCTTTGCGTCGAAATCATTTGAGAGGCAGTCATTTATTCCAAATAGCGTAATTACATGTTTAAAATGTCGCGATTTACTGTTTCTCACGCGTTCCAGCAATGCAGAAATTTTGTGCCCACCAAATCCTCTCGCCAACACATTTTCCGATATTTGTTCCCCATTGATTCTGTTAACCATTGAGTCTCCCAGTAATAGGCCAGAATATTCTCCTTCTCGTGGTAAAAATAAATGGTTTCGTTGTTGGTCGAATTTTTCTTCTTGAATATTGGTTGCTTGTATTTTGATTTCTTGGTTATTCTTGCTTTCTTGGTTATTTTCGCTTCGTTTGTTCTGATTTCTGCTCCGAGTTTCAATCTTGCTCCATTCATTTTCAAAATTGTTTTCTGCAATTTTCGAATTGCCCGTGTTTTTAAAATTTTCTAGATCAATAAATTTGTTTCTTTTTTCTTCATCTTTCGTTGATACAGTTAAGTTTTCGATAATTCGTTTAAAATAAGTAACATTTTCGATCAAGTCTTTATACAGCTCGTATTTCAATTAGTCGTTCAAATTTCGGAAAGTTTCGAGGTCAAACATGTTGGCGATTAAAAGCGAAATTAAAAATAAGACATTAAAATGAACCGACTGATCGCTAGAAATTTAAATTGGTTGTGATAGAAATAAGTTTTGTGAACACAGTTTTTACGTGGGGAAATCAGTGAACAAAAAAAAGAAATCT